TGAGGGGGGGTTGAAATTAATTTTTTCAGTGCTTAATGAGAGGGGGGATATGACTTAGTTTTGGGGCATATTTCACCCATTTCCCAGCCCATCCTCCAGGTAATTATTGCACAGTCCCTAAATGCTATTTGCATTTGAAAAGACTTCCCGCATTAGCCTCAGTTGTAAGCTGGTTCCAGTGCAATACCGAAAATACTAATGTGATCTTTTCGAAATATAAATATTAAAAACTGGTCGTCGTAGCTCGCGTTCTCTAAAAAACGCAGAATGTGGACCACATTTCACGTTGTTGTTTTGTGTAGAACGGTAAAGAAATGAACCAGAAATTATGACGGGTGTGCTGAGCCATTGTACTTGTTGCCATGCCGTTGTCGTTTGCTTTAAACTCCCTACAACCGAATGAACGACAGCGGAGTGAACAGCCAAACGAGCACTAAGCAAACGAAAGCCTAGCGGAATGAAAAGAGGGCTGAGTGTAGAAAACATCTGTACTATGAAACGTCTTTTGAAACTTAAAGGACTTCTCACGACATTTCCCGCCATTTCGTCTCAGGTAGTTTCGGGAAAGTCGATTGGGTTGTCCATGCATCCGCGAGTAACATACGCGGAAGAACTGGGTACCACGTCTAAAAATAACTTTAGAGGGATTACCTTGGGTGTAAGGTCTATATGGGGGATTCGCTCTCTTACCTTGACATTCTATTGCATGTGATCAACGCTTTGCTTTTCGCATTACATGAAATTTCGAATGGCAACTAGGAGGTTTCTAGGACAGGAACGATGGTGAAGGGGCTTTTCTCCGTGATGGTGTTCGGCAGGCTTCAATCGATATCGTCTGCATTACATGCAGTTCACGAAAACAGGATTAAGTCCAACCGTTAATATGTTTGTGCAAAATGTCTCAGTCTCAGTCAAGTAGCGCTGTTTATATTGTCGTCTTCTCGCTGAAACGTTTCTTGGAATCATTACTCATTTGAAGTGGTTTCTTTGCCGAACCAAAGAAATCACGGACGGTTACGAACGGTAACTTGACTCTTGTTTTTCACGCACGTGTAGTTGCAATGAAAACTGACGGATCAGTGACTTCTGTTTTCACGGTCAGAATAAACAAGCAAGAAGCCAATCTAGCGGCACGTCCAGAAACTTTAATCAACTTCATGTTAATGTATGGACGTCTCTTTTATTAGTGTCTTCAGCGCACTTTAATATACTGCATTAATGGCAATTCGTAAAAAAAAGAACTTTTGGTAGAGATTTTCTAAAAGGTCTGTGGTATGGAAACCCTTCAGCTATTACTGAAGACTCCCTCGCTGCAAGTTAAACCTCAAATTCATTAGATTAGACTTTAAGGCGACACAGTGGTTCTTTCATTTTGAAACAGATTCCCTGCGCAGTTTATAACAGAGGTAAACTGAGTCGTAGCGTTACCCGAGCGAACTGCGAGCCCAAGTCAACCTCGAGTCACAAACAACCTGGAGTCAACCACGAGTCAAGCCACTTTTTTTTAACGCTTCAGGTGATTTTCCTCATTTGTTCATTTCGGCTCTATAAGGTTATTGTCACGGTTGT